AGAAACAAGCTCCCGGATTTACCTAGGCTTAATGGGACTTGTAATGGAAAATTGTAATATATTGCTTAACACATAGTGAATAACAAACAGATATTTATAAACTGGAATACCCATGTATTTTTGTCATTTTATTAGTACCCTTCAGCCATTGTGTATATGGTAGTGTTTGGGAAGTGTTGCAATAGGAGTGAGGGGGAGGCAGCTGATTTATACCAAGTTTTACATATTGTTTCCAAATATAAATGATTTGCATTTGTGGTTTGTTTTATTCTTAGGCACTGTATTAGTAGTTTCCTAGGACTGCTGTGGGAAATTATTACAAACTGGGTGGCTTAAAACAACAGAAATGTATTCTCTCATGGTTCTGGAAGCTAGAAGTCCAAAATCAAGGTGTTGGCAAGGCCATGCTCCCTCTGAGGCTCCAGGGGAGCGTCCCTCCTTGCCTCGTCTGCCTTCTGGTGGTTGCCAGCAATCCTTGGCATTCCTTAGCTTTAAATACATCACTCAGTCTCTGCCTCCATTTTTGCTTGGCATTCTCCCCTGCGTGTCTGTGGCCAAATTTCCCTCTTCCTATAAATTAGGTTTCAGGCCCACTCTAATCCAGCATGACCTCATTGGAACTTGATTATATCTGCCAAGACCCAATTTCCAAATAAGGTCACATTCATAGATTCCAGGTGGACGTGAATTTGGGGGGGGGGGGAACACTATTAAACTTAGTATAGGCACTGTCTTGTCCTGAGAACTATAAATAAGCATAGTACGATGAAATTCTCCTGAGTCAGCTCTTTTGTCAGAAAAGTAAATTTTTATCTCCCTAAGGCCTTAACTTAACAGTTATTTAGAGGAGAGTGTTGGGGTTGGGAAGTTAATGAGAAAACTATTCACAAGTGGTACCCATTTCTACCGGAACAAGGGTCTAGGCCTGTGTTTCTGGACTGACTGCCATCCCAGAGAGCAGATTCTCAAGTCACGGAAATAGGTCAGGGAAAGGGAGAGGGAAGCCATGGGCCCATCTCACCCTCTCACAGCCACTTTAAAACTTCAGAATCAAAAGTTGTCTTAGTCAGTTCAGGCTGCCATACAAAATACCACAGACTGGGTGCCTTAAACAACAAAAGTTTAATTTCTCAAAAATTAATTTTTTTGGAGGAGAGAAGGCCAAGATCAAGGTTGCAACTGATCTGATCTCCATTGAGATCTGTCTTCCTGGCTTTCAGACGGTTGCCTTTTCACTGTGTCCTTGCACAGCCTTTCTCTGTGAGCCTGGAAAGAGACGTGCTTCTTAAATAAATAAGCATGGATGGCAGCCCCTTCATTTTTACCTATTCCCAAAGGCAATACATAGAAGCTTGATCTAAGGCCCCTTCTATGAAGGATTGTAGATAAAAATGGGTAACCATTTTGGATTTTCCATGAACCTAGCACTCTGAGTTATACATACTAGGCATACATTAACAATAGATCATATTCATATTAATGACTAATATTTTATTTAGTACTTACACTATTCTTAGCACTTTCCATGTATTAACTCATTTAACCCTTACAATAACTTAATAGACAGGTTCTATTGTCAGTGGCATTTTATGGGTAAGGAAATTGAGGAACAGAGGAATTTAGTAATTCACTCAATTTTCGCTAATGTATAAACGAATAAATGAATGAATCATAATATCTGAAGACCGCTTTAAGCTTTATGCTTTAACACTGCCTAGCTGCACCCATCTTCTTTCAACAACCTCTTGTCTGAATTTATTTTGGAGAGTCCTGTTATTGTTTTCTTTTCGTAGAAGGTAAGAGAACGCTGGACAAATCACACTAATTTTTTAAAAAGTCACTAACTATAAATATTCAACACTGTATTATCAGTGTTTTTATCAAGATGCATGCACATACTGAAACAAGTTTCCCCAAAATACTACTTAGCCTCACTATATACTGTAATGTATTGTTATTTTCTATTGTATTCTATTTTAGTCTTAGTCTAGTTTGTCCATTTAACTTAATTTGTTTAATGCAGATCATGGCCAAAACTGATTTCATGATCTATAATTGGGTCACCAAAGCTATTTGAAAAACAATATTGTTTTATATAATAGGTTAATAAGTAGATTTTTCTTCTGCTTTTAGCTGCTGAAGTTCAGGATTATAAAGATGTTGTCATATGTATACCCTTAAATGCTTTTAGAATTTATTTTTAAAAATGAATGCTTTGTTCTTAGCCTGTAGTAAAAGGGACTAACAGATTTCAGAGTTTCAGCTTTGAAAATTCATTTAATTTTCCTTCAGTCATATCACAGTATGTTTCCTTTCATTGGACATGACCTTCTTAAAAGGAACACATTTTCTAGTTAAAAGGAACAATTCAAGTCAGACATCATCAGATTGTGGCTCTGTTTAAGTTCTGAATTGTGAACCCCAAATGCATCCTGAAATTTTGGAGGTGAATTCAAGTTCTTTTCATGAAATCCCAGTGCTATAGTAACCCTATTGTCTTGACATTATCAACTAATATGCAATCAACTTCCTCAGAGTGTAAGACCCGAACTCATATTCTCACACTTCAGTCTGATGCATTTTTTCAGAGGCAACAAGCCTGGAGATTCGCATCTTCCAAAGCTACAGACAGGAAAATCATCAAGGAAAGAATTGAAATGTGTCTTGGAATGATGTTCTCAGAAAGGTACAAAGAGCTAATATATTTTTTTAATGATAAAAAGATAAGTTTGAAGCATCCTCTATGTATATATTCTGCTTATTTTAAAATCATGCCATAGAAAAAGTAAACAGTGCATATGCAATTGAAGTGAAATGTTGTTTCCTGAACATATCCAGATCTTATGTATAGGAGCAAATGCTTTATGAAGACCAAAGGGACACAAATAAATATATCAGCATGGTACTAAAAAAATAAATAAATAAATGTAGCAGTTAACTTTTAAAGGGATTTATTGATATCAGTTTTCTTCCCTTCAAAAAAATGTTAGTTCTCTTGCCCTTCCTCTTCCTAAAGCAAGAATGAGCCATCTTTAAATAAGCCATACTAAGAGATGATCCTAAGTATCCTGGGTAATCCTAATCAGTATTTGTATCTGACACTGGAAGGTACTTGGTCAGAGAAGTGTTTCTAAAGGCAGTCAAATCTGCTCCTTCTCCAAGGATTGACCGTGTGGCAGAGCCTCCCAGAAGCACACAGTCTAGCCAGAGGGACCAAGAAGGATGAGCACCGGATGTTAACATCGTAAATGGTTCATCTGTTTGCAGTTCATCAAGACTTAGTCCAGCGATTCTCAAACTTGAACAGGCATCAGGAACACCTGGGGGACTGGTTGAAACATGGACTGCTGAGCACCCTCCCCTCCCCACCCCACCCTCCCGTTCTAATTCAGCGGGTGGGGCCAGAGACTTTGCAGGTCCAACAAGTTCAGGGAACACTGCTGATGATGATCTGAAGCATATGCTCTAGTCCCATTTTCTGGAATTAGGACCCTTGAACTTAACCCCAAGGGTAAAGCATAGAGCCTTCCTGACTTCTTCAGAGATATCAGCGGCACGCTGGTGATCAAATTGACTGAAAGCCCAAGAGCACCAGTGAAAATGATCTACAAGTGAAATAGGAAGGCAGCCATTAGAACCACAAGAATGTGGCCCCCACTCAGCTAGAACTTACAGAAGTTGAGACTTGGCCCAGGTTCTCAAGATTGCAAGAAATGACAGGACAAGAAAGTTTTATCAAACATAATGACTCTACAAATAAATGGAGCGGATCTCATTCCCCCTTGCAATAAAGAGCTGACATCTCATGACACCAGACAAAGGGCAAGTGGACCTGGGCTGAGGATCACAAGAGCAAGGCCTGTAATTTATCTGTACATAAAATAAGGATTTTGGAGAACAAATGCTGTGAAACACAGGGACATTTCCTTTTTTTTATTTTTTATTTTAAGGAAATAAGGAGGAAAGGAGGGAGGGAGAAAAGGAAGGAGGGAAAGAAGGGAGAAAGGAAGGGAGGAAGGGCAAGCAAAGTAATACAAGCAGTGCTCTTGGTAAATGTGCCTCTGAAATAGTTTGTCAACTGCCTTATGGTGCAGGAGACTGGCTATGGTGGGTCTAAAAGTGATTCCATTTCCCACAATTCCACAGGGTGGTTCGTGAACAAAAATATGCTTCTTTTCCTAAGGAGCACCAGGTGAACCGTCGTAAACCAGCCACAGTAAGTAGGGGCCTGCAGATTGCTTTAAGAGAAAAAGACTTTATTAAAATTCAAAGGAAAAAAATCAGCTGAGATGATTTAGAAAGCATTATGCATTTATTGAACAAACACTGCTAAAGACATTTCAGCAAACTGTGTGTTTAAAAAGTAATAAATAGCTATTGTGCTTACTTCATAAACTTGTCAGACTGTCTTCATTTTATTTTCCTGAACAAACTGAATTTCTGTACTGCTCATCCCCAGCCAGTTAATAAATACATCACCCTAAAAAGTGCTGTGGTATTAAATTTACAGCAGATAAAATATGGATGAAGTTGCTGTGCCGCAGGTACGTCAAGTGTGATTTAATATCTCACACTCGTCTCATGAGGAGTAAGAGATTACTGGCTGCTTCAACCGCCAGAGAGCGACCTTTGCCCCTGAGTAACAGCCACTCAGCAAATAGCGCCAAATGAAGACGGAGAATAACATATAGATTTGCCATAAGAAAAAATTGATCTAAATCCGTATATCAAATCTGCTGATCAGAGCTCTGGAGAAACATCTCAGAATCTTCAGTACACAACTGCAGTTACTTTGCGCGGAAAGGAGGCCTTCCTGCCAGTGTATGGGATATTTTTGTGTTTTTTCTTAAAATTTTCACCTTATTCCTATTATTATTATTTACATTTTATATCGCTGGAATAAAATTTCCTTAGGAAAAAAAAGCTCTTTGACTTAATATCTTAGTGGTAAGTTTTTTTTGTTTTTTGTTTTTCTCTTTGTAGGAACCAGAAGCTCTTTGAGCATTTCAGAGATCGGGAGAATCTTATAAATGAAGGCGTTGTTCTCCAGGGAAATCTCTCAACAATCTGATTTCATTTATGTCTTTTTAAAAAGTTCTGTCTAAATGATAAAAAAAAAAATCTCCAAGGAAAACATTTGTTAGCACAGAAAATAAATTCTTATGATTAACATTTTGCCATCCAAAAAGGTTGGTGACTAAGAGAGTTTTCAGCACTTCAAAGGTAAGAGAGAAATGAGTTTTAAAACAAGAGTGAAAAAGAAGCAAATTGCTGCTGAGCTATTTTTATTTCAAATATATAAAAGTAGAGTTGGTAACTGCCATGGGTAAATCTTCAAAGTGCGGCTTGCAAAGGGTCTTCCTCTAAAGACTGTTGTGAAAAAATAAACTTCAGCAATTAAAGCGGCTTTCTCCTTTCACCACGGAAGTGAGGCAAGTGGCCGGTGTCCCAGGGGCTCCTGGCATCCTCTCAGTTCCCAGGGAGCAGTGTGTGCTGGCTAATTTTAAAAAACCTCTTCAGCTCTGGGCCTTTGCAAATAAAAGCTTTTGGTGCCTCCCCCAAAATGTGACGGCTCCACGGTTTGAGGATTTTTTGTTTGTTTATTTGTTTTTCACTGGGCATTTTTGTGCTCACTTGGTAATTGGTTTGACTGAGCCAGAGGCGTGTGGGGACAAGGCTGTTTATTCTGAATTTCATCACTGGTGAGTAGAGAGGCATTGGCACTAGCAGATAGGTTAGCACAAAAGCTATGATTCCTATATATGAACTGGGGAAATATCCTAAAACAGGTGAGAGAGGGGACTGAGTGGGGTGACTTTAGGGCTGAGGGCATGTGTCTGTGTGTATGTGCACACCTACCATGGAGGCTCTCCTATTAGAAATGAAAGCTCTCTTCAGAGAGTAGCCAGATGGACCAGCACCCCTCTTCCCAGACTGGCCCATATTCACTCAGTGTAATACCTGCCGGTCCCCACACCTTTCTAAACAAGTGCTTTTCCCATTCCGATTGTACAGTACATTGGCCAAGGAGGGCGACGTTTCTGGAGTGACAGATGTGCCTGCTGAGAGGGCTCCAGGAGGAGCCTGGTCTTTTTGTTTGCATCAGTGGGGAGGGTGCGGAGATGGGTGGACTACAGGTGGGGGGCAGGAAACAGGGCCAGGCACAGGGAAAACAGGAAAAGGGAGACTCTTTATGCTTGGTATGACTTTATTTTTTTTAAATATATATGTGCATATTGTGAACCTAGAGAGGAGAGTTGGAGGCAGCTGGCAAGAATTCGGAGGCCACGCGGGAATGGGGAACGTTTGAGTGGCACACACGTAGTGTCAAACCCCATGGAAGCCTCCTTCTCATGGTTGTGTCTTTCCCAGACTGACCAGACAGGGAAGGGCTAGTGTTTAGTGAACAATTGGAAGGAAAATAATGCCCAAATTTTAAAATTATCATAATATTTTCCAAAGGCTAATTTCCCCTTATCTTGCCATCATTTTACTTTTTATTTACTCTCCTGCTCCCAACTTATAGATTATCCTGTCAACTATTTTTCAATAAAAAATTTGTTTCTGAAAAAACTACGGGAAAATGATGTTCACAGGGATTTATGCTCGCCTTGCCCTGCGATGGCAACACGAGCCCCTCCTGAGGAGGCAGTAAAGGAGATTTCTTCAACTAAGAACTTCTTTCCATTTCAGATATGTTGAAAAGATCTACATGTAAGCAATATTGACTTGCATTTGGAACTGTATTTGCAAAACTAGGTTTTGGAGGAATAAACTTGACTCACTGGAAATGATCCCATGGAAATTAATTAGCATTTCAAAACAACTAGTAAAAGGCCATTTATTTTCTAATTTTTTAAAAAGCTAACAATACCATTAATTATTCCTTTTATGAATCCTGGTAATGGCTGTTTATTTGCAATAATTCGGTATTACACTGTCAGGGGCATAGCACCCCTGCATATTACAACATTTTTTGTTTTTAACAGGCCACAATGCAGACCTCCAAAATTCTCTCATGACAAAGCAGATTACAAGTGTCAGTCAAAATCTTGCAACTCCTGGTGCTTCCAGTCACCAGTATCACTTTTTGTTTCTGCCTTCCCTCTGCTAATACCCTTCCCTGGAATGTGCCCACTTGACATCAACGTGTAACTGAGAACAGATGCTTTTAGCATTCACCTTTCTAATCCAAGCATTTCCTAGTCCCATTGTAATGACAAATTAAGTTGCAACTAACAGTTTTTAATTTAGTTGAGTGTTTTGTTTTTTTTAATTAAAACGCAGGCCAAATCCTGCTGTATTTTTTAATAGATTTTATTTTTTAGAACAGTTTTAGATTCTTCCTGGCATGTCTTTAAAGTTGTTTTCTTCATTCAAGAACATCACTGAAAATATCTGGAAATTATAAACCATAACTTTTGACCTGTGTGGATTATAATTTCCAGCCCCTGAAACATTGAAAAAAGAGAAAATGTTCAGAATTGTATTGATGCTATATTGAGTAAAAATAAATTTACTTGAAATGTTAAAAAAAGAACATGAAGATAAAGGTCATTAGCATTTATAAAAGAATTAGATTGTTTATTTTTTTTCCTTGGGGGAAAAATTTATAAATGAAATTGCTGGATCAAAAGGAAAATACATTTTTAGAATGCTTACCATATCTACTTACAGAGAGAGAGAGAGAGAGAGAGAGAGAGACTATATATCCAGTTACCCCTCTAAAATGATGTACCTATTAATACTCTCCATATCCATTTAGGACAGAATGTCTCTTTTCCCAAATGTGGAAAATGCTGATTATTCCCATTCTTTTAAATCTGATGAATTGTATCTTGTTTTTATTTGCAACTTATTGATTTCTGCAGTTTGAAATTTTTCACATCTATTTTTCCCTGGTGAGTTCTTCATGACCTTATCTCATTTGTCCATTAGAATGGTCACCTTTTTTTTTTCATATTGATATAAAAAAGCTGTTTTATAAATTAAGAATGCTAATTAACCTTTATTATTTACTTATAAGAATGTTCTTCAATTTTGTCTTCTGTCTTCTATTTTTAAAATTTATTTTTCTTTGTCAATTTGCTATTATGACATAGAAAGATAAAGAAACTGAGGATGGGGCTTGCTTAATTTTTTTGTTTATTATAATATGGTAAAATGTATTGGATTTCCCTTCACACCTTCTGCTTCAGATGCAGTGCTAAGGTAGTCTTTCCCATGCATCCCCAAATTATATACTCATCTCTATTTTCTTTTACTATTTTGTTCCAATAATCTGACTATTATTGTATCAGTGTCATACTGTTTTCATTGCTATAGTATATTTAATATCTGTTAAAGTAAATCGTTCTCATTCCTATTTTAAAAATTCCCCTTGCATCCTAAAGTAGTCTTACTAATGGATTATTTAGAATAATGTTAACTTCAAAACTTCGACTGAAATTTTATTAAATTTATTATTTATTGAGTTTTCTCATCCAAGAATACTGCAATCATTTTTTTTATGCAAGCCCCTTTTATTATGTCCTTCAGTAGAGTTTTAGTTTCTCAGATCAGTCAAATACTCTTCTTTCTAAGCATATTACTGGATATAGGACATTTACACCACTTTTAATATTTATTAAATTCTAGGAGAAAGTTATTACATTTGATTTTTGCTTTCTTACCAGCCAAGGTTTCTTAGTATTCCTGATAGATGTTCAGTTGACTCCTTCTTATTTCACAAGTTGATAGTCATATCATGTACAAATAATAACTTTATCTCTCTTTTCTCAATATTTACATGCCATATTTTGATTATTTCTCTAATTACATTGGCTAACTTTTTCTGAAAAATAAATAGCAATGATAATAGTGGGCATCTTTTCTTTCTCCAGCATTTAAAGAGATACTTTTCACTACTTCACCATAGAACGTAAAGCTGGTTTTTGGTTTGAGATGATCTACCATATTTTGCTGTGTATAATGCGCACTTTTTTGCTCAAATTTGTGAGGGAAAAATAAGGATGTCATATAGGTAGTACTAATTTCATATCTATATCAATGTTTGTAATTCTTTCATTCATGCTTATGAATTAAAAGTGTAACTCTATAACAATAGTCGGTTTTGTTGAACTTAGGATGAACTTGAAAAACGAGTTCTTGGCCTTCTATGATGCATTAATATCGTAAATTTGTTACTGGTACATAAAATTTCTTGTACCTTGTGTCTTTTCTTGTAATTACTTGTTTTGTAATTATTTGTTACATAAAATTTCTTTTACCATAATATAAATAAATAAGTTAAAAAATAAGTGCTAAAATTTTTTTGTAATACAAAAAACAAATATTTAAATGTAAACAAATACAAATTTGAATTAAAAAATTAACATGAAAGATTTTTTTCCCTGAAAGTTTGGGCCAAAAACGTGGGGGCGCATTATATACGGAAGTGCATTATACATGGCAAAATACAGTATGTCCATTTTACTATAAGTTGTTATCATCAAAAACAGATATTAAACTTTGCATAGTGATTCATTAGATCCTCTATGATAATGTTTTTCTTTTTCTGTAGATATAATAAACTATACTAACACATTTGAAGATACTTTTATATTCCTGGAATAAGCGTTAATTGGTGAGGACAGGTAAACTTATCAAATACTGATGAATTCATTCTAGTATAAGAATTTTGTATTTATATTCAAAAGTGATATGGGTCTCTATTTGCCAAGGATGAGGAGATTGCAAAAATCAACAAGGCTGTGGTTGAAATGGCAAATGACTTTACACTGGGCATGAGTGAGGATGGCATTGAGGAACACCTCAAGTTTGTTCCTGAGGAATTAACTAAGGGAAGGAGTTGTTGGAACTAGAACAAGAACACGTAGCTGAAGAAGAGTCGAGAGAAAAATAAACTGTAAGAGAGGTAAAAAAAAGAAGAGCCAGCAAGAAAATTAGCAATAAAGAGTGTAGTAGAGTCTTTTGTAGATCTCAGCAAGCTCCTCAAAAAGTTTGAAAACATGTACCCCAACACAGAAAGGTTTCCATTACTAGAAATGTTCATGGTGCATTATCTGTTTAAAAGAAAACCTATGATAATAAAAGAAACAAACCAAGCACACCACCATGGCCATGTTTCTGAAAAGAGTGACACCTCCTTAAGAAGAGCCTCAGGCAGGTCCTTCAGGGGGTATTTTAGAAGGAGACATTGTTATCATAGGAAGTGACAGCTC